AGCCACAGCCCTTCCTCGGTTCCAGATGACGATGGAGCAAGCAGGCAGGGACATCACAGAAGGAAACAACCTGACATGGCCGTGTCCAGGGGGGTCTGCCACCTCCTGTCTTGGTTGTCTCTCTCTCCTGCACGTTGGCAGAGAGCTGACATTCAGGTTACAAACCCAGGCCTGCCTGCCACTGGCTAAATCCTCCTCATTACAGCTCTGTTGGGTCCTAAGGAGGAGGATAATAGGCAAGAAATCACAGTAACGGAGGGCCTTCCCTTCAGGGGCTACAGAATGGGGAAGAGCGGAAGTCTAGAAGGAACAACTAAGAGAGATTCGGGGTTAAATGTCCAAACGGGCTCAGCTTGGGTTTCTAGAAGTTTCCATTTTTCGGGCATCTACCTTGACCAAACTCTGCTTCCTGAGTACTTTACACACCCTGTCTCATTTAAGCCTCAGCATCGTGGCTAACGGTAGATCGGAGGAACAGAGTCTCCTTCTACAACCCCCCGGGAGCCTCCAAACTGAGGAGACGAGGCTGAAATACCAATCTGACCCTGATATCGCTTCAGATGCTGGAATACCCAGACCCCAAAGGAAGTTCTGCCCCACTGTCATGGTGGGCTGCGTTTAAGGAGACCCATGCTTCTAGAAACCCCAGTGGCACAGTGGGTTAAATGACAGACTGCTTGCCAAAAGGTTGGCGGTTCAAAACCACCAGCCATTCCATGGGAGAAAGATATAGTAATCTTTCCATGAGGCAGTTCTAACCTGTCCTATAGGGTGGCTATGAGAATAGAATCAGTAGCAGGGGGTTTGATTTCCTTCTGCTTCTAGAACATCAGAAAATGACAGAGCTAGGGCGTCCTACTGTGGCACTCGGTGTAGGATAAGCACTGGACTGCTAAACTGCAAGGTCAGAGGTTCAAACCCACCAGCCACTCCTCAGAAACCCTACACAGGGTCCCTATGAGTCGGGACTTACTAACAATTACAGGATCATGGTATTTTCCTTAACCTCATATGCATGCAAAAGCTGGACAGTGAATAAGGAAGACCACAGAAGAATTGCTGCTTTTGAGTTACGGTGTTGGAGGAGAATATTGAAAGTGCCATGGGCTGCCAAGAGAACCAACAGATCTGTGTTGGAAGAAGTGCAGCCAGAGTGTTCCTTGGAGGCCAGGATGGCTAAGGTTCATCTCTCATACTTCAGACATATTGTTAGAAGGGACCAGTCACTGGAGAAGGATATCATGTTTGGTAAGGTGGAGGGTCAGAGAAAAAGAGGAAGACCCCCAGCAAGATGGATTGGCAAAACTGCAGCATGGATGGGCTCAAACGTGGCAACAGCTGTGAGATTGGCCCAGGACCAGGCAGTGTTTTGTTCTGTTGTGCATAGGGTCACTATGAGTTGGTGCCGACTCGGTGGCACCTAACAACAACAAGAAGGACTATAAGGGAAAGGGGAGGGTCTCACTGTGCCAGGCATGCATGTTTAAATGTCCCAGTGACCTTCTGGGCCTTCACACAAGGTCAAATCTGCGCCCAAGACCTAGGACTCTCTCACTCAGAGCCCGGGTCTCCCCACACCGGCCCGCAAGTCCCTGCCTCCCCTTCCTCCTCAGAACCCCCATCCCAATAAACACTTGGATAATGTGAGCTCTTCACAAACCTGAACCTCACCCCCAACCTCCCACCTGCGGTTGTTTACAAGTGGGCCACAGTCTCCCTGGGAATGGACAGGCCCTTGCTCCACCGGAAGGGCACTACAAGTGTAAAGTTCATTCATGCAGATGTGATTCTGAGTACCAATACCTGCCACTAGCCAGACCTCTGGTCCACAGACCCCACCTCTGAGCAGGCCCGGAGACCTCCACTGTCCACTGCAGACACTCAGGGGCAGGGTCAAGGTCCATGGTCAAAGGCACGGCTGCTACTAGCTGCCACTGGGGCTATGTCCCATGTTCCCCTGAGGGTTAAGTTTTTTTCCTTCCCTGGGCAGTCTTCTGTCTCTTCCTTTACAGGAGGAGCCCCCTGGGGACAGGGAGAGGCAGGTTGCTAGGTTTCTGATGAATGAATGAATGAATGAATGAATGAATGAATGAACGAACGAAAGCTTTCCTGGACACCAAGCTTCAGAAACCTCCTCCTTGCATTCCTTTTAGACCTATATCCAGAATTACTGGCAGGCAGGGTCCACACCCAGAGGTGGTGATGAGAAACAGCAGTAGTCTTCACCCCATGGATGTTTTCCCCACCTAAGGACAAGACTCTGGAGCCCCCTGCATCATGTCTCTAGAAGCAGCCAGCAGGCAGGAGAGACTGGGGGATGGGGCCTGTCTGGACAAGACGAAAGATGGGGCCCTCAAGACCACAGCAAGAAGCTCACCTCCAACACAACCAAGACTGGGTGGCCAAGAACTAGAGGCCAAGTCCCAAGGATGAACGGCCGCCAGCTGACCCACAGTCACTGTTACAGGACACCAGTGAGGCCTGGAATGGCTGGCGTGTCTCCTGAGAGCCACAGCCGGGAATCAGGAGCTCGGGGCCGGTTCAGTGAGGACAGCGGCTGCTGCGAAGCTTTCCGGGAGCCGACGGAGAGCCTGTGATTCCTAGCCCCCTTCTTAAAATATAAAGACTCAATTATCTTTGAGCAGCTTGCTTTACACATGAATTGACACATTTATTTTACAATAAATAACAGGAAAGTTATCTGTGTTTCCTTTACTGTTCATCTAAACAGAGAAATAATAAACAGGGCTTGTCTACAAAAATGCAAAGGCTGTGCAGTCCTCAGAATTCAATTACGCTAAAATAATTAATGCTCCCACCATATTAAATTACTTTATACATCTGAGCCACTGAAGTTTTTATTCTTTCATCCTTTTTTTTTATTATTATTAAATAAAAAGAATTAAAAAAAAAAAAAATCGTTGGGATCCGAGTAGGGAGGGAACAAGGAATAGAACAGGTAGATGGAAGCAGGGAGTGCTGTTAAAACTGGTGGTCTTCGTGGACTCACACAGCATGTCGACGGGTTTGTGCCTTTGATTAAAATAACATTTTAAATGCTTTGAACAAACACATCTCTTTAGACTTCTGAGGGCTGGTTTTACATATTTCTCCAAGAATGGAGAAATCCAGTCGCCCTGTTGCCGAACAGAAAGCCCAATCATATCTTTCGTCTCACGTAAAACAAAAATGTTGCTGCAGGATCCCAATCCCAAAACAAGGGAGGGAGGCAGGACAGAGTGGCCACGGGGGTGGACCCGGCCTCCGGTACAATCAGACTTGTGGCTTTCTGCAGCAAATCTGGCTGCAGGGGTGGGATCGGCAGCCTGTCGTTGGGAGACATGGCAGTCATGGGAGCTGAGGACTCAACTGCTCAGCCGGAGCAGAAAGCACTTCCCATGGAAACAGAGGAAAGGACCTGGGTCTCCTAGGCTGTGGTCCTCACCCGCTCTCCCAGGAAAGGTTTGCACAGGGAGTTCAGAGGTACCCTCCCACCCACCCACCCTCGGGGCAGCCCAACATTCAGATCTCAGCAATAACTACCCCTGGAGCATCAGACACAGGGGAGATAAGAATGGCGCCCCAGGAACACACACAAAAGTGCCATGAACCCCTCCAGGCAGTTCAAGCCCTGATTCAGTGACGTCAATGGGGTCTGCAGAGCAGGCGGGAGCCAGTGTTGCCATGCCTGGGGCCCTGCATTCACCGCCCTCTGCATCCTGGGAGAAAAGTGAGCAGTTTCTGGCTCTGTTGCCCTCCAGGAAGCCAGGCCTACAGACTGTTCTGGCCCCCAAGCTGTCCGAGCATGTCTTCTGGACATGTCCCTGCAGGAATTCTGCAGGTCACCCCAGCTTTCCCAAAGAGCCAGATGGCCAAGTCCATTTTACAGGTGAGCAAAGTGAGGCGCTGAGTTAGAGCTGGCTTTGCCACACTCTGCTGATGAGAGTTCTTGCCACAGTCATGCAGCTCCACTGTGGGAGCAAGCTGTACCGGTCACAAGAGGCTCACCCTTTCAAGAGCACCCAACGGCCTCTGTCCCCCAGCACCCTCACTAGCCTCAAGGACCGAAACACAGAGGGGATCTGTGTGCTGCTTCCCAGCCAGCCACGGACAGGATGTCACAGCGCTAGAGGGGACTCCGAAAAGAAGGCTCACAAAGCGCTCAGGGTATCACCCCCACTCCAGTGACAAGCAAGGAAACTGACGCTCAGATCCGGGAAAGTGGTCCCACCAAGAGGGCTCGAACCCTTGTGTGTATGAACTCAGAAGCCCCTCCAGCTCCTAAGGGACCAGAGGCTGACCAGGAGCCAATCCTGTCCCCACACAGGGGAGAAATGAGCACACCCAGGTGGAGGAGGTAAGTACACATCCTGTTTTGCAGGTGGTAAGGGCATGTTCAACCTCTCCCAGGGAAGCAGCATTCCAGCATGTCCCCCTCAACTCAGGGGAGCTAGCTGTCTTTTGACAGTTGGGAAACTGAGGCCAGAGAAAGGAGGGAGTAAGTGTTCCCATTCATAAACACCTGCCTGCCCAGTCCTGTCACACACAACAGCTCACTCATCCTCACACCAACCCAAGCTGGGCAAGTTTTGTTCGCTCCATTTCAAAGATGGGGAGATCGACTTGCCCAAGTTTTGAAGCACAGATCTGAACTACCTGACTCCAAAGCCAGTGACAGGTGAAGACTATCAGCAAAGCGAGGGTCAAGCCAACTTCTCAATGTCCCTTGTGCACTCCTGACTGCCCATAAATGAGGCCCAAAGCCAGAGCCTTCTCACCAAAAGCAAAGCCACCTTGGCTGGTCAGGCCACCCCGAGCCCCAAGCCTGTCCCCCACCATACAGGGGCCCCTCAGAGCCAGTGGCCCAGAGGCCCTCCCAGCACCAGTCCTGAGTCAGAGGGCACAATGTCCCCCACGATGTCCCCCACCCTGGGCACCAGGGGTAAGCTGGACAAAGTCCCAGCATGAACAGCGGCCGGGGCCAGTGAGACGGTGCGTACCTGCAATGTTCTCCTGCTTGGGGCAGATGCCTTTCGTGGGCGAGAGCAGGTGGTCATCTTCATCGGGGGTGACCTGGATCCCGATCTCCACCGGCTCGGACACTTTCCTGAGCTCGGAGCGTGCGGAGGGCGGCGGACTGCCCTTATCCAGGACTTTGTCATAGCAGGTACCGAGACTGTCACACCGTTTCTTCTTGTGCTCTATAAAAACCAGGATGTCCCCCAGGGGGAAGTTCATCTGACACTGTCCACAGGTGAGCAGGTCAGGGACGGGGCCACCCACCATCAGCCCCAGGCCACCGGGTTCCTCTAGCTCCAGACCCTCATCTTCCTCAAGGACAGCAGCCTCCAAATGGTCAGCCTCTGCTGGAGACAGAAAGGAGGAGAGGGAAGGGGTAGAGAAGACAGAGATAGGCTTAGGCAATCACAAGACCTGGTCTTCCAACCCTTCCCCACCCAGCTCACCACATCCTCCCCTCACTCCTGAAGACAAGAGGGTTCAGTCCCCATTGACAGATGGACAAATTGAGGCTCCCAGACATTGTCGCAGGAGCGGTGTTGAAGGCTTATTTTCTGCCAGTTCCTCCCAGCACAACATACAAGCACACACACACAAAGGAGTTCAGGAGATGCTTTACGGCCTAGGAGAATGAACTTGGGGAGCTTGGGAAAATCCCAAGGCCCTAGTCAGGCCCCAGACCAACGACAGGATCACAGGACAGGGGATGGGGGCCCAAGCTTCAGTAGGTTTTGATGCCTCCTGGCAATGCCCTGTGGTCTTCCCTCCCCCTCCCACCTTTCATTCATGTGCTCCCCATTCATGCCCTCCTTCCTGCATTCCACTACCTGAGCCCTGGCTGCTCCCCAAACAAGGAAACAGAAACCCAGATGGACGTCATCGGGCCATGCATTGGAAGAGGCCCACATGCAACAAGTGAGCACCGATCCACAAACACAAGGAGACCAGCCTGCCAGACAGGAGTCCCAGCAGCCCCTCGCTTCTTTGTTGATCTCCCAACAATCAACAGCTCCCCACTGTCCTGCTTTGTTTGTTGGTTTTATTTTCACTCAAGAAAAAAAAAAAAAAAAGGGGGGGTGTGGAATTCTTAAGACTCCAAAGGTATTCATTGCTTGGCAGCTCACGAACCACCCTTTCTAGGGATTTCTGTGCATTTTTCTCTCTCTTTAGCAGCCGATATATTTCTGTTCTTTTTTTTTTTTTTCCTTGGGAGGAGGTGTATAAGAGAGCAAAGGACTCGAATATTTTTGAAGCCAAAAAAATGCCTTCCCCAAGGTAGTCACTCCCCTCGGGGGACGAGAGGCAGACGTAGGAAGTGGACAGGAGGTTTCAGATTCCCCTTTCCGGGCTGGAGTCGTTCATGAGAAATGTCAAGTCTTTGTAAAGAAGGGGCAAGTGGTAGGGGCCTTCAGGGACATTAAGAACAGCCGAAGGTCTACAACTGAAGGAGGCAGGTAGAGTTTAAGTTGTACGGTATTTTGTGAAGGAAAAGGGGAACCACGGGAAGAAATGGGAAGACAGAGGAATACATTCCGTGGAAGTGAAGTTACTGACGGGCCGGAGCCAAGGAACAGATAATTTAAGGAAAAAATGCTGTGGCATCTTCCAGTCTCCACATAAATCATAGTTCCAGTTTTACACGAGCCTATGTGTGAAACCCAACGCAGAACATGGGACACACAATGCCCAGCATGCACGCATGGACCCAAGTGTGTGCCGGGATGGATAGGTAGGCTATTTGAGATTCGGCCTGGGGTTCTACCGTGGCCAGCCTAGGCCTCAGTGAATTACATGTTGAAATAAATGCTGGCAAAATGTGGCAGAAAATCTTGCGCCGATGACGGTATCCTAAACCTGTTGTCTATGTATCTGAGACCCCTCCCAAAAAAAAAAAAAAAAAAGGAACCAACAAAGCTTGGATAAGAGCTTTCAAAAAGCCCACCCTAGAATTCATTCATTACACTTGAATAAAAAATCTGAATTTACTTAAAAAGGAGTTTGAAGACAATGAGGCAAAATTAATTTACCAATTTATTTTATGGGGGGGTAAACAAGACAAAACAAAACAAAATGCTTTGCAACAGTGCAAATGTAATCACCTTCTCCCCTCCCACCCACCTACCCCCAGCAGTGGATCGAAGCAAGGAAACTGGGCTTCTGGGGAGGGTCTGTCAGAACGCAAAAGGTAATTATTCGATGCCTCTTTTTCCTTTTAACGATCTAACATTGAGCAATAGTGTGTATTGAAAACCTTGCACCTTTAATTACCAATTACATATACATAATTTCAGAGCCAAAGGAGAGAGCCGTGAAAACAGTTCTTTAGAAATACAAAGACGTACTGCGCACCATTCCTAGAAAGGGGGCCTCAATAAGCACGAGGAGGATGTCAAAATATTGTTTTGTTAAAAAAATAATAATAATAAGGCACAAAGAAAATGAACTGAAAAGCAAAAAAAAAAAGACAAAATGAAATTAAGAATTCAGATGAAACCGGAAGGGAACGTTGAATGGTGGGAAGGGTGTGGAGGGGACCAAATACCTGGGACCAGTTTTCTGGACTCTCTTGTAATTTTCTATAAAAGCATTATATAACAACACAACAACCACCAAAAGGTGTTTTTTGTCTTTTCATTTGGGAAGTGCAGAGATCTTACTTATTTTTTTTATTTATTTACGTTTCATTAACTTTTTCAACCACTTCCATCATCTATATGTGGCTCTCGGGGGTGGGAACTGCAGAGAGTAGGTACAACTAAATAATTTCAAATCCATTTTCTAATTCCAAAGCCACACAAACATTTATAAATGAGCGAAGTTTACATGTGGCTGCTCACAACCCTTCCTCCTCCATTCCCTTTCCCTCTTGCCAAGGACTCTGTACCAGGCCTTTTTCCCCCCCTCTCCCCCTTTTTTTTTTTTTGGGTAACATCTGGTATGCTTCCCATTTGTTCCCAGTGTCTGCCTTTTCACTTTCTTCATTCAGCAAGCCCTTGTGAGCCACAGTAATTGAGTTTGAAAGTATTCAAGCCGTTCGCTGTGGTACATACAACCTGATTTCTCATGCAGCTCCTCCACGCAGCGAACAAACCTGGGCAGCAAGGCTCTACTGGTGTCCCTGGCATGGCCCTAGGGTCACCCCTAGCTCGAGGGGGCTGCCCTGTACGCAGACAGCCTCCACTCCCAGAGCCGAGACTCAGCTAGCTCACTACACCAGAGCAAGTTTGGGAGGAAGAGAAACCAAAAAATTCCTTCCCTCCCCCGTCTCAGTACTGAAACTAAAAGTCCTAAAAAATGGCAGAGGGTGTTTAAGCAACCCAAAGGAGAGTGGTTCTCTCCTCCTCACCCCTCAGGCTATGGGCTCCGAACTGGAGCCCCCACTTTTCCCTCCATTTCCCCAAGAAGCAAAGCCAACCAGGTCCCCAAACTGTCTCACTGTTTGCATACCCATGTTCAACAGTAATATTAACCACAGTCTCCAAAATGGTGCAAACCACCCAAATGTCCCTCAATAGATGACCTGGTCAATGAAAATAAGTGTCCCCTGGAATGTCACTTAGTTAAAGAGAGAAATGACATTGTCATCCAAGCAAAGTCATGGGTGAACCTTGATAACATACTGAGTGAAAGAAATCCAACACAAAAGAATAAATATTGTACGATGAGAAATCTGGAATACATATATGCAGAGACCAAAGTTTACTCATGGCTACCTGGGGCAGGTGGGCGGGGAGGTGGGAGGACTGCTTGGGGTCTTCTGTGAAGGGTGATGAAAACACATGGCAGTAGTTATTGGTCATTGCCCAGGTTGGTGAATGGGACCGAACTGAACATGTACAATTGACTGAAGTAGCAAATGCTTTGTTGTCTATATTCTACCACAATTTAAATACAACAATAACAAAGCTGTTAGACTCCTGAAGGGACAATGGGAGGACTGGATGGGGACAGATCCTGAGAGATCACACTCGGCTTTCAAACACCTCCAGACACGGCTGTGGTTTCATTTCCGCTGGCAGGCGGATGCTGAGCTGGGTGTGGAGGGTGTGTGTGTGTGTGTGTGTGTGTGTGAATAGTGCCCCCCACCTCCCACAACTGTATCGATAATGGAAGAAATACAATGAGAAAATCCACCCTTGCCTAGCCTTGAGAATAGCCGATCGGGAAGGAGCCTGGCTCTCTCCTTGTGGGGACCTGGGCTGTGAGGCTCCCTTGCAATCCCCAGGGATCCTGCCACGCACTGTGGTCCAAACCACCTCCCAGAGATGGCCAGGGAGCACCCACTGGGAAAAAGACAAGGTGAAAAACAAACAAACAAAAAAAAAAAAACAAAAGCAACTTTCCAAACAAATTCCCAAGCCCTACACACCAGTCCCCCAAAACCACCTGGTCCAATAATTTAGGCCTTAAAAACATCAGCTGAAGACAAGATTTTCTGAGATTCTTTTTTTCCTCCTTTCGTGAGAAGCTGCCCAAGAATCCAGCAGCCCTACAGACTACTGCTGATTTCAGTACATGATGAGCCAGGTCAAGTCGTGTCATGGCCGAAACATTTGACTCCTCATGGGGGGGATGGGGGGGTGGCAAAACTGCAGGGATGCAACAGCCAGCTTGTTGGAGCTTCCGAGAGCTCAGGGCTGGGGTCAATTCTTAAATGTATGTGTTTTCACACAGAGTTAAATTTCCTTTTACAACAAAACCACATTTCATTTACAAGGCTGAGCCTCCGCTCAGCTGGTAAGCGCATTTGGAAGCAATGAAATCAGGGTCTCCCAATAACAGTGGACAATGGTGTTAAGTGCAGAGGAAGTACTTGATCCAAAAGACAAACTCCTCCTCTGAAGAAATGTGGAGCAGGAGACAGAAATAGAAAACAATCTAGAAGGATGGCCCAACCAGACCACCTTACCTGGCCAGTGACGTCCGGCTCACCTGCCCACCCCACACCATCTCTAACAACTGCCTTCAGGAATTCCAGCTGCTGCCCACTGTCCACGGCACTCCCAGATTATCCCCCTGCCCTCTGCTTTAACCCCATTCCCATCCCAGCCTTCAGTGGCTAAGCCACCCTGGGGGAAAACCATAGGTAGAAATGATTGTTTCAGTGACAGGGGTGGGGGAGGGTGGGTTGTAAGGGGAGGGTATAGGAGAAAGGATGCCAGGCTCTGAAAACGGTGCCACACCGACGTCACAGTCCTATCCTGATGTGTTCTGGTGTTTACAAGAAATAATCCGCATCCATTGCCGGAGCTCCGCTCCAACCAGACTTGGCACCTGCTTCCTACGAAACCACTGCTCTGCCAGCGTCCCCCGCTTCTGGGAAGGGGTCTTTGCACACTCAGGGCAG